TAGGCTTTTTCTGAGTAGTTTATTGGAGATAAGAGTCTTACAGAGTTTCCTGCCTGGGCTGGCTTTGAACCGAAGTCCTCAGATCTCAGCCTCTTCTTGAGTAGCTAGAATCACAGATGTGAGCCACCAGTGCCCTGCTTTCTGGACAGGTTTAAAGAGATAATGGAGGACAACCGTGGTCATTCTGAGGAGCTGCTCACTCAAGATCCCAGCTCTGCATCTGCATATTGGGTGGGCCTCCTGCAACCAGATCACGTGACACTCCTCACCACCTGGAGGAGAAGACGGTACTACTTTCCAGCTTTGCTCCTCCTCCTCTTTATTCACTGGTTTTCAGTTGCATTTCTTATACTAGAAGGATGCTTGTGCTTGCCTTATCATTCATCTGGATTTGAAGTGCTTGAGGCCAAGAACTATGGCTTATCTCTGCATCTCACATCTCACCTGTCCCAGAACTTAGTGCAAAGTTAGGATTTAAAAAAAGATTGTAAACTAATTGTCAGTAGCTCATACTTGTAATCCTGAGTATTCAGGAGCCTGAGATCTGAGGATCATGGTTCAAAGTCAGCCTGGGAAGGAAAGTCCATGAGACTCTTGTCTCCAATCAACCATCAGTAAACATCAGAAGTGAAGATTTTGCTCAAGTGGTAGACTGCCAGTCTTTATTGGCAAAGCCAAGTGAGAGTATGAGGCCCTAAATTCAAGCCCTGATACCAGCACATGCGCACGTGCACGCGCGTGTGCGCGCACACACACACACACACACACACACAGAATTGTAGACTGATAATGTGGCTGACAGATGTAGTAACGCTGTTTGGTAGCTATGAGACATTGTGTCTAGAGCCGGAAGGACAGTAGTTGAGTTTCCCACTTCTCTAGTCAAGCAGAGCTCAAATTGGATGTCTCCAGATTCTAAAGCCCCCATGCCCGGTGCTTTTGGACAGCAGCAGAAATGTCCTTCCCTGCTCCTCTGGCAGTCTTTTTATGGGTGCACATACTTGGTTTTCATTTTTTAAAAGTAGGTAAATGACACATTATCCATATTGTCCCTAGGAAAATTGTCAAGAACAAGTAAGCCTTGTGGTGGACAGTCCTAACGCAGTCACCCATCAAGACTCATGGGAACCTGTGACCCTCCATCTTGACTTTTTTTTTTCTTGGAATAGCAGTATAGCTTTCTTGGGATAAAAATGATTAGTTGTCCTGTTATTGAAAGAAGTGATCCTCAAGCCAATGTCATTGTGTGCCTAGGGGAAAAGAATAAGGTCCTAGGCTTGTCGGCGGGTGGGAGGGAGAGCAAAAAGCCAGCAAGATGACTGACGCGGGCATTGTGAGGTGAGACCTCCCCCGGCCGGTGGACAGAACTGGGCTGGAGCGCTAGTGGTCTAGAAAGCAAACACCTGTGTCCCAGGTCGGCCTGACCCGCGGTCCTGGGCCAGCCTGTCCGGGCACCTGGCTGAGCCGGTGATTAGTGTGAGGTGAGCCCATGCTGCAGCAGAAGAAAGTGCTTTTCCTTCTCTGTCTTGGAGGCGGTCTTAACCTTTTTTTTTTTTATCTGAGTGAAAACTAGAATGTGGCCCAAACTTCAGAGCAGTGGTGTTCCACCAGGATGATGCACTTTCTCCTCTTCCACTCCCCCAAAATCAGTAATGTCTGGAATCACATGGAGTTGTTGAAATCAGAGGGACATGCTGTTGGTATCTAGTGGGTGGAGACCAGGCGTGTTGCTAAACGTCCTGTAATGCACAGTGCGGGAGCCCTGCTAGGAATGGGTAGTGCCAAGGTTGAGAAATACCACACAAAAAAAGAAAGGCAGCCCAGCCCACATGAAAGCCCAGAAGACTACATTTCCAACTTACTGGCAAAATGTCAGACTGGAGGCATGGCTCAAGTGCAGAACGCCAACCCAGCAAGCAATCTGAGAATGTGAGGCTCTGAGTCAAATCCCTGTCACTGGTACACAAAAAAGGATGGGCAGCAAGAAAGTTCTCAGCGCTGTCTCACGGAGAAGAAGGGACCATAAAAGTACCGATTGTTTTGTGTCTTATTTCCCCATTGAGATGTCAGTTTAGAAACCCTTGTCTCTGAATCCAGCATCCATCAGAATATTAAGGATGCTAAAGTGTTTTGGGGTGTGTGTGTGTGTTTTTTAAATACTGAGCAGTGTTTTGTGCATTTTGGAAAAGTCAAGAGTTGTCATAAGAAAGGACAGAATCACAGTTGAAATGATCCCAAGTAGATATTGAAAACTAATTTCATTAAAGTCAGTGGTGCAAACAGCCAGGTGGTTTTTAATCCAGAGTCAAAGCTGAGGACGAGGAGGGGGAGTGGAGGGAGAAAATAAATAGCAGAACTTCTTTCTAGCTTTGCTGGGTATGTTGTGCAGTTGTGTTTTCTCGTTTTGTTGTGTTTCTTGTTTTGTTTGTATTTGTCCTCAGGGTATAGAGGGACTTAGCGGTCCAGCGGTGGGTGGCATCCTTACCCACCTAGGACACTGGCTGCACTCTTGAGTTTCTCCATGTTAAGTGCTTTGAGTGAATGTGAAGAGGGAAATGTGTGTTGTGATTGCTCAGGCAGGTGGTGATCTAGCCAGAGGGTGGGTGGCTGTGGGGTCACCCAGTCCTAAGGAGGGAGGTGCTGATACCCTAGAAGGAAGCAGAGGGTCAGCAAAGGCAGAGGAGCTAAACATGGAAAGTTTTCTAGCCTTTCTCCTTTGTTACTTGTTTCTTTTTCTCTCTGCTTTCTCCTTTTCCTGCTTAACTCCTCCACTTCTTCATTCTCCTCCCGCTCCTTCTCAATGACTGAACCAAAGAACTTGATTTTCACGAGCTACTTCACAGACATACATCAGAGAAGAAAACAGCTTGTCAGAAACAGAGGAGCATGGAGGCATTTAAATTAAATATCACAGTTGCCTGCAGGTTACTTACTAACAAGAAAATGGTTTTGCCTAAGCAGCATGTGTGCTTTGTCAGGAGTAGAAAAAAAAAAAAACTTAGCACTCTAGTTACATAAGACCGTATTGATAGCACCACATTAATTTTAATCATTTAATTAAAAATGCTCAACTAGCCAGGCAGCTGTAATCCTAGCTACTCAGGAGACTAAAATCTAAGGATCAGGGTTCCAAGCCAACATGAGCAGTGAAGTCTGTGAGACTTTATCTCCAGTGAATCACCAAAAAGCCAGAAGTGGCACTGTGGCTCAAGTGATCAAGTGCTAGCCTTGAGCAAAAATGCTCAGGGACAGCACCCAGGCCCTGAGTTCAGGCCTCAGGAACTGCACTAAAAAAAAAAATTTTTTTTAATGATTATCTATCTTTTTTTAAATTTTTTTTTCTTTTTACTGTTACTCCATAAATGACACCTGCATTTGGTTTCTGTCTGTGTCATGCTTTGCGAGTTCAGCACGGCTTTGGTGACAAGTCTATTTAGAGCAGTTAAGATTTCTCCCTTCCAACTGCTAGCTGTCCTATAGATCAACATTTGCTTGACAGAGTTTCTTGTCTATCTGTCTCCAGTCTCAGTCTGTCTGTCTGTCTCTGTCTGTTTTTATCTCTGCTCATCTATTATCTATTTGGAATAGCTTCCTAGGTCTGCTGTACAAAATGCTCACTAACTTGGTAGCTTCTGGTTTTAGAGGTCAGAAGTCTAGCCCAGGCATTGGTCAGGCTGAGTCCAACCATGGTTGTGGTGGTGACTTTCTTTGCTTCTTCCTACTGCTTCTTCTTACCAGTCATTCTTGGTTTGTTGCTGTGAAAATCTGGTGTCTGTCTTCGCCTGACCTTTTTATGGTACTTAGGCCTTGTCTCTTTAGAATAGGCCTTGTCTCTTTAGAAGGATGCTCATCATTGAATTTAGGGTCCACCTGGATTATCCAGGATAATTTTGTCAGGATGTCCCTAACTTCATCACATCTGCCAAACCCTGCTTTTTCCAAAGAAAGTCTCACTCCTGGGTTCCTTGGGTGAGGCTGTAGGCCTCCCATTAGGGCCGCTGGCTGCCTCTCACCTATCCATGATAAACTGTGGGTTGTCTTTGGTTTTTGCTTTCTAGGATGCTATGTACACAGGTGTTAGGTTGTGTTTATGGACCTTAAAGTAGCCCACATTGATGTCTGGGTAAATGGTCATACCTTGCTTCCTGAGTGCGAGGGGCACATGGGAATAGGTGTTTGAGACTTCAAAGCAAATGCATGTTTCAGATGGAAGCTGAAACACCTTGGAGCCACCCTAAAGGGAGAGCAGTCTAAGTAGCACTGTGATTACAACTCTCAAGACTGCAGCTTTTCTAGGTGTTTATCCTTGGGCTGTAATTACCTTCCCAGGTGGTCTCCAGGATTGCTAGTTTCCAGCAAGGTATAAATGTCTCCATTCACTTGACCCTGTTTAACCTTTATTAATTTAGGTGCCTCCAAAGAGAGAGAGACACACAATTGATCTGAGCTTCAAAAAACAAAAAAGGAAATCATAATATGCTTGTCCTTCCTTGAGTCGCTAAAATTGAGCAAATAAGGATCGATGTTGACCATGTATGTTCTCTGGTAGTGCCAGAGGCGGCAGGCAGAGGGAAAGGCTGCCTGGGGTGATCTCAAGACCCTGGGAAAAAATTCTAAGGTCTAAACGGAGACCAAAGCCTGTCCCAGCTGTCCCGTGTAACCTTAGACAAGTTACTCAATTGCTTGGGTTGAAGAAGTGGAAACTTCTTCAAGTAAAAAACTCCAGATGGGTTGAATGGTTGGAGCGATGGAGTCCAGCAGGTTGGAGGGTGTCATGGTACCCGCTCATCACACTGCTGCCAAATGCAGCCCTGCGCTAAGCTTTCTTGGTGACTGACAGCTCGTCTTGCTGGAAATGTTTCTCAGTGATAAGGTTCTGGGTTCCATGCCTGGCACCACCAAAAGAAAGAAAGAAATACAGGAGCAGGGCTTGGTTCTGAATTAAGACAAAGCAGTGTTCGTTTGTTTGTTTTCTCTCTCTCCCCTTTTCCCACTTGCAGCGGAGAGCTACAAGGACACGCAGACGGTGACAGTTAAGGAAGAGCCCATGGAGGTGGACCTGCAGGACTCGCAGGTCTCCATCTCACCCAGCCGGAACGTTGGCTACAGCTCCTTAATCGGGCGAGAGAAAACTGAGCCCTTGCAGAAGATGCCAGAAGGCAGGGTAGCCCCAGAGAGAAACCTCTTCAGCCAGGACATCTCTGTGAAGATGGCCTCTGAGCTTCTCTTTCAACTGTCAGGTAGGTTCAGGTGCAGAAAATTCTCTGGATCACTGAGAGGAGAGTTGTTCTAACAACTAGGAAGGCCAACCAACTACATGGTAGACCGTGTGAGAAGGAAAGCAGTTTTGTCACTTTAACCTGCCTACTGCCACCCAGATTTAATGATTAATAAAGTGTCGCATGAAGAATTTCTGCCAAACTTTCTTCAATATAGAGCTGAATTACTTGGAATTACAGCTCCAGAGTTCTGTACAAATGATCCCTGGCTCATATATTGTGCCCAGTTTGTATAGCACTTTGGAGTTCTAGTTCCAAAAGGTGTTTAGGTATGCTAAACACTTGCCTTGGATTTGTTTCTGAAGTGACCTTCTGATCATCTTTCTAATGTGCCGAATGAAGGTAAGCTTCTGTCTACTCAGTCATGACCAAATGACTGTGAATTCCCAATCAATGTGGTTGGAATTAGTGGGATTTTATGGTCTCCTGCCAAAACAAAAAAATGAAATAGGAGGAATGTTTTCAGCTATAGCTTATGAGAATATTTTCTACTTTGGACAAAGTGCAGTGCTTACCAGTCCAGTGAAATGTCTTATGTGTACAGTTTATCTCTTTGTCAGCTCTTTTGAGATCCATATCCCTTGGCCCTAATGAGTTTGATATGGTGTTATATTTTTTGATATGACAAAGTAAGGAGTTGGGATGAGGGAGAGATTTCCCATTCTTTATGCAGGAAATGAGAGTTGTAAGAGTTGAAGACTCCGATGGTGTTATTCGTTGTTTGGAACTGAAATTGATTAACAAGATTCAGATCTTGATAGAAACATAGGCAACAGCGGCCTACAGGTTGAAATTCACCAGCAACAAACTCAATAGAGTCTGTTACTCTAACTCAACTCTCTTGAGTTTGTTCCTGATGTTTGATAAACTGTCTTGTTGTGGGTAACACAGGATGTAGCAAGTACTTTGCCCTATATTAGGGTTCAATTATTTGTCCCTATCCTCCCTCCCAAACATAATACCAGGAAGAAAGAAAGAAGCTCATCAGTCAGGAAGGTTCGGGCACAGTCCACTGCATCACTGGCCTGGCAATACCTTGTCCCCTCCCCATCACTGAAATGGATGGCTTCAAGGTTCCCAAAGACTGTATTCAAGCAGATCGATACATGATTTTTCCCCCCTAAAGACCAAGAGCTTTCAAAACAGTATACTTTGATAATGAGTGCAGAGTTAGTTAGTCATGGTGAGGCTCACCTGGTTCTCTGCAGCAAGTCTGTCCCCAGCTGTGCATTATCCCAGCCTTCTGTGCACAAAGTACCAGGTGTGAGCATGCTCCTCCCGGCCCTGCACTGCCGGCTGACCTCACACCAGCCACTCAGCTCCAGTCCCCTGCTCTCTGCACAACGAGCACCTGGTGGTCCACATCACAAGTGGATGATGACACATAAGCACTAACGCTGCAGTCCAGACTGGAATTTTGGAGCCAGCGAGGACAGATGTTAGAAACCTTCATTTACATACCCCCACCCCACGCCCATGGCATCAGCTTTTCACGTGTCCTGCCATTGAAATCTGCAGCCATGGAAGAGCAGCCAGACTTTCTCTCCATGCTCAAACCTTGGGGTCTTTGGGGGAATCCTCCCAGTTGAACCAGATTGGGAAGGCCACAGTGCAACTTCATTAGCTAGTTCCTTTTGATTGGCTGTCAGTGAACCATTTTTTTTATTGTCAAGGTGATGTACAGAGAGGTGTTACAGTTATGTAAGTAAGGTAATAAGTACATTTCTTGTCAAACTTGTTACCCCTTCCCTCGTTGGTGAATAGTCCATGTGCACTTTCTGTGCATCTCATCCAATAAGAGCTGGGGGATTTAGATGTTTAAAAAAGAAACCCAAAAAACCGGGCGCTGGTGGCTCACGCTTGTAATCCTAGCTACTCAGGAGGCTGAGCTCTGAAGGCTACAGTTCAAAGCCAGCCCACAAAGTTAAAGTTAAAGAAGAGATAAAGTTGGGGGGTTTCTGCTTCAGCTAAACATGGATGTTCCATTCTTTTTCCTTACAGAAAAAGTGAGCAAAGAGCACAATCACACGAAGGAGAACACTATCCGGACGAGCAGCAGGTAGGCACCTGTGGGAGGGGCAGGGGACCCCCTCTGGGTCACCAGCCTGGAATGACATTGTTCTCCAAACTGCTTCTCCACGCTGTGTTCAAAGGAGCCATTCATGACTTTCCTCTATTTTCCTCGCTCAGCTTTTGGCAGTAGTGGAGCGGTGTGGTCTCAACTCGGACCGTGTGTTTGCCAAGCAGGTGCCGGTCACTAAGCCACTCCCCTGTCCCCACCTCTTTCTGCTTTATCTTTCAGATCAGGTCTCTCTATTCCTTCTGAGACTCGCCTTAGACTGTTTCTCCCATCTCTTCCTCCTGCATAGCTGAGATTACAGACCTGTGCCACCATGCCCAGCCCTTTCCCTCCTATTTTCTACCAGAACCTCTCAGTTGATGGCAATAATGCAGAAACCAAGGACAAAAGTGGAAAAGACTGTTAATATTTATTAAGCATGGACTGGTATTACTTTGCTGGGGAATTTTTTTTAAAGTTTAGAACATTTATTCATATTGGTTTTTTAATTTCAAAATGCTAAAAACTGTTACACAAGTCAGGCAACGGGTACGTCTCCTTTTGGGCAATGTCACCCGTTCCTCGGCTGTCCCCCGTTTTTCCCTCCTTCCCACTCATCTTCACCCTAGTGTCCAGAGAGTACCATTGCTGCATGTGTTCACCTTCGTCTCTCCATGTCTGCAGCTCCCCTTACCCTCCTCAGCACGCAGGACAAAAAGAAAAGGGGGATTTAAAAAAAACCTTTATTTCTTCAAGTAATTTTGTGAAATAGATGTTATTATCATCTTTGCAAACATTTCTCTTTCTGTTTTTGGTGCTGGGAACTGAACCCACAGCCTTGTGCGTGCTGAACATACATTCTACACTGAGCTATAACCTCAGCCAGCAGAAGCTTCTTGAGTTGAGAGTTCGAATTGAGATTGGGGACTGGGTTTGTAGCTGTGGAATCCTCCACTGTTGTCCCAAGAATCTCAAAAGCAGAAGAATGACATTGCTTTCTTTTAAATTGCAAGGTCTGGGCACAGTGGCACATCCTTGTAGTCCCAGATATTCAGCAGATGGAAGAGGTGGGGTTGACACTAAGATAGGATTGTATAAATAAGCCCAGGAGTTCAGGGCCAAGCTGCACAATACAGCACAATCTTCTCTCAAGAAGATGGGAAAGGAGCCGGATGCAGAGGCGTACACCTGTAATCCAAGCTACTTGGGAGGGTGGAGATCAAAAGGATGACAATTTAAGGCCAGCCCAGGCAAAAAGCTAGTGAGATGCCATCTCAACAAAGAAAGCGCAATGTGGTGGCACGAGCCTCTTATCCCAGCTCCGTGCTTAAACAGGAGGATTGCAGCCCAGGCTGGCCTGGCAAAAAAGAAAAATTAAAATTAAAAAAGGAAGAGAGGGGAGACGGAGAGAAAGAAGAAATAAAAGAGGGAAGGAGAGAAAGTAGGGGAAGCAGGAGGGAAGCACATCACTCCCTGTGTGCGAGGTCAGAGGGTAGACTCCTCATCCGCCTGCCTTTAGGAAGAGAAGGAGCCTTAAAGGCCACACACAAGTGAACTGCCCTAGGAAAGAGCTTCCAAGGAGGAAAGCGAGCATGAAGACACCTCCCCCTCACCGGTGCAGGACTGCCCGCCTCATTCCACCTCGGGGACTCACACGCAGGAGCAGGGGAATGTGAGCTCAGGGATGGACGAAGGTCTAGGAGCAGGGAGAACAGGGCCTGAGCTTCTAAAGCGTCTTTAAGATGAAGAACTTTGCTTTCCTAAGCAGAGAGATTCTTTCTGATGGAGCAGTGATTGGCTCTGGTTTTGTCATTTTTACTCTGTCTGTGTGTGTGTGTGTGTGTGTGTGTGTGTGTGGTGTGTGTGTGTGTGTGTGAGTGTGTGCGTGCGTGCGTGTGTGTGTGTGCGTGTGTGCGTGCGTGTGTGTGTGTGTGCGTGCGTGTGTGTGTGTGTGTGTGGTGTGTGTGTGTGTCTGTGTGTGTGTGTGTGGTGTGTGTGTGTGTGTGTGTCTGTGTCTGTGTGTGTGTGTGTGTGTGGTGTGTGGTGTGTGTGTGTGTGTGTATGTGTGTGTGTGTGGTGTGTGTGTGTGTGTGTGTCTGTGTGTGTGTGTGTGGTGTGTGGTGTGTGTGTGTGTGTGTGTGGTGTGTGTGTGTGTGTGTGTGTGTGGTGTGTGTGTGTGTGTGTGTGTGTGGTGTGTGTGTGTGTGTGTGTGTGTGTGTGTGTGTGTGTGTGTGTGTGCGTGCGACTGGGAACAAAACTCAGGTCCTTATGCTTTGTACTTCTCATTCTTGAAGCAAAAAAGTCAGACGATGCTTTTATTTTTGGTGTGCTACGAATTGACCTCAGAACATCATCACACTGTAAACAGAACACAAAGTTTAAACCTGAGGTTTTCTTTCAGTTCAGTTCATTTGAATTCACAAACATGGAGTGTCCAACATAAACTAATTCAAAACCAGCTTGTCACTTGTCACAGTGTCAGGGGACCGAGTCTGGAAGCCATGGAGGGAGGTTAGGAAGGCCATCATCTATGGATGGCCTTGGGCGAAGGGCCAGCTCCCTTTAACCACCCCCCCACCATGCTGCCCAGTAGCGTCAGGCCACGCTGTAGGGCAGGTGCCCTCTCGTGGGGCTCTCTAGGGGATGGTTCTCACCCACAGCTGCCAACACTGACAGCCATGAGTGAGTGAGTGAGCAGAGTGCACACAAAGTAAGGCCTGTCGTTCCTCAGGCCCTTTAAGCTTTCCAGCCCACACTTGCACCACACAAAGGTCTACTGGAGACAGTCACGGTATGCTTTCAGGGTAGTAGGAAGAGGTAAGACAAAGAATGAACCTCAGTCAATGAAATGTGCCTGTCAGTGAAATTGTCTTGGCTGGAGCTGAAGGGTAATTATAGGATATGAGAGAGGGTACGTTTTTTGTTGTTGTTGTTTTTTGTTTTTACCCATTTGGCAAAAACGAAGCAATCCATAAATTCTCCTCTCTCAGGGAGATGATGAGTCAGAAGAAACCTGAATCAGATCCTTTGCCCAAACTAAGGAAGAGTTGTGCCTCAAGAGCCCCAGCATGGTTAAGAAATCCAGTTGTAGAATTCATGGTTTATAGAACCAAGGAACGGTCATGGACAGTTTTAATCCCAACTACTCAGGAGGCAGAGATTGGAAGGATTGAAGTCTGAGGCCAGCGAGGCACAAACATGAGATCCTCCACAAGACCAGATCTGAAAAATAAAGCAGAAAGGGCTGGAGATGTGGCTCAAGTGGCAGAGCACCTGCTTAGCAAGCATAAGACCTTTAGTATCAAACTCTAGCTCTGCCCCACCCCCCAAAAAAATTCTTGGTTTATAATTCTGCAAAGTGCTGAGTATATTTTTATTTGTTCTTCAAGCAGGGCCCTACTCAGATCTTCTAGTAGATTTCATGTTTACATCTCACCTCATTATTACAAAGAGAATATAAACAAGTTGCTCAGTGCCAAGAAAATCATCTTTAACTCATACATTTGATGCCATTTGCTCTCTTCCTCTTCCTCTTGTGATTCTTGTTTTGCAAGGAACTTATTTTGTATATACAGGGTCAGTATGTTTTAGGGTATGATTTGTGATACACTTTACAAAGATTTCTTTCTTTTTTTCTATTTTTTTTAATTTAATTTTTTTTTGTGAAAATACCGTACAGAGGGGTTACAATTACATGGGCAAGATAGTGAGTACATTTCTTACCAAGCATTGTAGCCTCCTCCTTTGTTTACCCTTCCCATCCTTTCCCAGCCCCCCCCCACCCCCCACCCAATCCCCCCCCCCACCCCACCAAACTTGTAAAGTTCGTTTTCGACATGACAACTTGTACTTCTCATTGTTGCAATGGGTTCGTTCACCTGTATCCTTATTTAAACGACTTTTTACAAAGATTTCTAACAAAGATTTCTCGGAATCTTCTTGTCTCTGGGTATTTGTTTAGTTATCATATTTCTTTCCCCCCCCTTTTTCTGCTCCTCCCCTCCCCTCCCCGGTGGTACTGGAGTGTGGACTCTGGACTCGCCTTGCTGGGCAGGTAGTCTACCTTGAGCCACATCCCGTCCTTTGTTGCTTTCGTTATTTTATGCATGTTTCTGTCAGAGCTGGTCTTAGACTGCAGTCCTCCTGGGCATTAATCCTCTTGCCTAGCTGAGATGACGGGCACGGGCTACCAGGCCTGTCTGACTTTTTTGAGATAGGGTCTTCCTAACTTCTTGCCTTGGCTAGCCGTAAGCTGTGATCTTTCTTATCTCTGTCTCCCCTGTAGCTGGGATGGCAGATGTGAACCACCATGCTCAGCCCTCCTTACTGTATTTCTGTTTGACTTCCAAGAAGAAACTGACTGCTTAGAACAAGGCTCCTGATTGGAATCAAGTTCAGAATGAGCCCTGGGTGGGAGCTGTGTGGGTTTCTTCGAGACAGCAGAACATAGGAGCCCTGAGATTCTGGCTCTGGGCTTGTCTAATGTTGATGGAGGCCTTTGCCCCCCCCTATTTTGGGTACCCCCTACTCCTGGAGTCTCAATGACTAAGGGAGGTGGAGACAAAGACAACATTGCTGATGGTCTCTGCCCCCAGGTTCCTCAGAGTTGTTACCAGTATTGATCCGGACGCTCATTCAATCCAACCACAAGAATCAAGGAGAAGTGTAGTGAGTCCAGACTACATGCACACCTGGGGCTGGCATCCAGTAGAGCCCAGGTGTGACCCAGGGAGGCCCTGAGGCCCCTGCCACCCCGTCCCCACCCCCCTCCCCCCGCCCCCACCCCCCTCCCCCCGCCCCCACCCCCCTCCTCCCGTCACACCACCTCGGCTCTTCCTGTGATGTCGTTTTAATTCTGCATCCTAAGATGGGCAAGTACAGAACATGAGTTCTTCTTTAAAAAGAAAAGTTGATCCTAATAACTGGCAACTTTCTGGATCGTTGGTTCTCTGCCTCATTTAAAATAAAAGCGGGGGGACTTTTATGAGGGGAAATTTTTA